CTTGACATTTTGATGTTGACATTCTGAAAAGATCACCACAATCAAGCTAAATACTATATTGCCTCTATATAGTTACAATTTGTGTGTGTGTGCATATGTTGAGAAGATTTAAATTAAGTTCTATCCTCTCAGCAAATTTCAAGTGTACAATACATTATTGTTAACCAGGTTGGTCATCAGATCCCCAGACTCATTCATCTTGCATAACAGAAACTTTATGCCATTTGGTAAAAAGGTGTATATTTTTAGAATGGATTATTATTCAGCACTAAAAAGGAAGGAAATCTTGCCCTTTATAGCAATATGGGTGAAACTGGACAATACTGTGCTAAGTGAAATCAGCCAGAGACAGAAAGACACATACTGAATGTTTTCTTACTTAAATGTTGAATTTGAAATAATGAAACTCATTGAAGCAGAAAGCAGAGTGGTGGCTGCCAGGAGTGGGGGTAAAGGGTGGAAGGAGGAAAGGAGGGGGTACTGGTCAAAGGGCACATCATTTTTTTTTATTGTGGTAAAAGACATATAACATAAGACTTTCCATTTTAACCACTTTTAAGTATACAATTCAGTGACATTAAGTAGATTCACATTGTTGTGCAACCATGACCATTTCCTAGTCTCAGTACTTTTTTATCACGGCAAACAGTAACCCATTAAACAGTCACTTCTTACTATCTCCTCCCCCACCTCCTGACAACCACCAATCCTCCCCCTGTCTCCATGGACCCACCTATTCTGGACTTTTTGTATAAGTAGAATTGTACAGTATGTAGTCCCTTGTGCCTGGCTTCTTTCACCCAGCACAATATTTTCAAGTTTCATTCATACTGTATAGTATGTAGCAGACTTTCATTCCTTGTTATGGCTGGACAATATTCCACTGTACGGATAAACCACATCATACATGATATGATGGACATTGGAGTTTTTCCACCTCACGGCTGTTGTGAACGGAGCTGCTGTGCACATCTGTGTAAAATTTTTCAGAATACCTTTCTTCAACTGACTTTATGCTTGTATTTTCAGGGATCTTTGTTAGTTACTCATTATCAGTAGGAAAGTCCAATTCTTCCATGTTACTTGCAAACTCACCTGAAATTGTGTTTCATTTTTGATCCAATCTTATTTTATATTACTCCAGCATATGTGACCTCTGGTCCAGACAGACTTCTCAATGTTCCACAAATACATATTTATATCCTTTACCTTTGTTTAGATGACTTTTTTCTGTTACTTTCCTTGAATCCCAAATGTCATCCTAGTACAAATCAACTATGTTACCTCCAAGAAGTCACTCACTTCAACTGCCTTAGCTGCTTCACTTCTGAAAAACATATATTGTTTGCCATATTCAGAAAATTCTGTACCATATCAAAAGGGCTTATGTTTCATGAGCATTTTGACATGCTCAAAGAAGAAGTTTGCTGCAGGCCAATTATGCACTATCACAGAGGTACTGTGGGTTCTCAATCCCTGGCTAACTTTGTAAATGCAGTAAGTCCTAGAAAGTGCAGAGATGACTAGAAGGAGACAACTGGAAACTTTAACTCAGTATATCCTGAGCAGTGACCATTCGATAAATGGCTCTTGAATGAAGGAATGATATGAGCTACATTAATTATATTCTACTTCTACAACTAAACTATAAATTTTAGCTCATGGAAGAATAAAAGAAAATATAGCACTCGGTTTGGAATAAAAAACACTGGGTTCAAGTGGCTGTTTTGTCTTGCTAAGATTTTTGTGCCAAAGGCAAATTAAATAAACTTTCTGAGTCTCATTTATATTGGCTGTCAAAGAAAAATAATCATTATAAATAGGAAAAGATAACTAAAAGAAATTTGTACAGCTATAAATTGCTATAGCAATAACATTATTATTATTGTAATGCATCCTTTATTTTAAGTGTTAAGTGGGAAATTGAGGAAACCAAAACCATTTAAGGAAATCAAATATTTTGTCTAAATATTGTCTAAATGAGGAATATTTTTGGCATATTAATTTTATAAATGGTAATATTTTAATAAGAATGTGACCTTGTTCATCTTTTTGAAGCCATAAGATAGGTTAGAACTCTAGGTAGCAGAAGACTTCCTTGGGCTCTTATGAGAGAGTAGTAAGCCCTAAAAGGAAAGAGACAGAAAACAAGAAACTCTCTAAGAAAAGACAATATTGCTTGAGATGGCTGGCATGCTGGAAGTATGCTGGCTCTGGTATTATCTGACACACAGAAAAGAGAGACAATTGTACCCTGAAGTTGTTTAAAAATTAGGCAACACTAACAAACTACAACAATAATAAATATAAACAAGTACTATTCTTTAAGCCCTCACTATATGCTAGGCAATGTATCACATGCTTAACATATATTTTTACTCATTTCTTCCTAACTAAAACTCGATGAAATAGACATTATTATTCCCATCTTACAAAAGTAAATTCATTCTTAGAGGTTTAATAATTTATCAAGGTCACACAACTTATATATGATGGTAAAACTGGGCTTTTAAACCTGAGGCTGTCTGATGCTAAAAAATACATATTACTACTATTGTAACAACATTGAAAGAGAAATATCTAGGAAAGTTCAAAGGCCGATTTTTATATCTGTAGCCTATAAACTACTCTCTAGGTTTGGCTTGCAAAGCTGAAAGAAGGACTTTAGCTTTAATCAGGTGACAAGTTTTTGGGAAAGAGAGAAAGAACGAGAGAGAGAAAGCTGGAGGAAAAAGAGCTTTCAAACTACCAAAGCTGTGAGCGGCAGGCCCAGGGCCATGGAGGCCTAGGACCCAAGGGCTTTGACAAAAGATTTCTATGGGTAATAGGCAATGCCAAGTTTTTTAGTTAAGTAACTATTAATAGTAGGTTTCTTACAAGTTGAGCCATTTAGCCTATGTGTCTAGATAATAAAGACTTCAATACCCTACCTCAATTGATTCTTCTGTTATAGCTATGTGTAGGTAACAAGTATAAAGAACATTTATTAAGTACTTATTCTGTGCTAGATATTGTTCTAAACGTTCTACATTTGATCCTAACAACAACTCTGCAAGGTGTGTTCTTCTATTATCATTCCCATTTTGATGATGAGGAACTTAAGCCATGATACTAATCCAAGCAAACTTATGTCAGAGCCCACAATCTTTACCATTATATTATACGAATGTTACAGTAAACTAGTCACTACAATAATTAGGTAAGTAGTATTTTATTCATAATCATTCTGTTATTTAATAAAAACTATTTTTCTAAAGTAGCTAATCTTAAATTGTCACTTAGTGAACAGATTTAGTGATTAGCATTGTTTGCAATAAAGACACTTACTGACAACTAATTGGGATTACAGTGAGAACAGCCTTCTGACAGTTCCTTAGAGAATGTTTTAAGAAATAAACTATATAATGATCTTGTATGCTCTATATGATTCAATACCATATAAGTGAAAGATGAAGCTCTTGCATTTTAGGATAGTTGCTGGTTTACTGAGGTATTTATGTGTGAAGTCAGGTGACACATTATGATAACAGAAGCTTTCATGTTTTGGAAAGTGACAAGGCAATTTTTCTGCTTCTGTTTTTTTTTTTTTTTTTACTTAAACTGATCCAAAAGGATATATTAAGAGATTGTAATACACAATGTTTAAAATGGATATAATACTATTCATTGTTATGTGTGGAATAGGTTGATTCCTTCTGCAATGTAATATATATTTTGAAAATTGATCTAGTTCACACATTATACTAATAATCTAATCTATATTAGATGAATAATTTTACTTAGATGAAAATATTTCTTTCTTAACCATATTGACTAGAGCAACCTTTTGTGACTAGAGTCTTTAATTCAATAAAGAAAATTCAAGCACTCCAAGAACTTTGATGCCTGGCAAATATATTTTTAAATTAGACATATTAAAGTTGTTATTTCAAAACAAAATTAAAATGTATCATGATGAACTTGCATGTGTTAATGGATCTAAGTGACTGGAATCTAATAATGCCAAGTACCTGGATGAAACATGAAAAGTCAGAGAATCATTCTGAAGTTTTCATTTATCTGTAGAACACATTTTCACATTCAATCATATGTTGACTTCGCATGTATATAACTATAATATCAATGTGTATAAAACCTTTTCAAAAAAACCTTAATAATTGTGATGAAGTGTAAGTTAATAATGTGGACTTTTAAAGTCACTTTATTTTGGGGAAATTAATAAAATATGATATAAAATAAAACATCTTTTATCCTAAAAAAAGGTACCATAATATTTTAGAAGATATTTCAAAATCTCTAGGGTGTAATTAAATGAAGAGTTTGAAAAACTTAGGCTCTATCACCCCATATACCATAAGCTAGAGATTTCTTTTAATGTTTACATTTTTTTCCAGAGTTAGTAACCGCAATGCAACTCTTGTTGAAACCATGATATGTATTAAAGAGTGTAGATATGTATGACAGGTTAACAAATGTAAAAAGTCAACATTAATATAAACCGTCAACTATTCAATGGGAAAAAATTTTTAAAGCATGGTTTTGGCAGGATAATATTATCTAAAATCTACTATTTTTAAAGTTTCCCTTAAAAATTAACTTCACCTACAAAGTCTATTAAATCAATGACAATAGGCTAAAATACACTACTTTGATATATAAATCCAACTTTTTACAATTAGCCTAAAAAGTTCTTTCAGAACTAAATGATCAAAGAATTCAGTATGATCCTTGGTGGACGTGGGGGAGGGGATAGGGAGGAGGTGACTATTCAAGTCACAGAATACAATGAAAATAAAAGCTGATGCTGTGAAGTTTAGAAAAATTTAATTTTGCTTCTATCAAAAGAAGACATTTAAAGAAAGAAAAATTCAAATACGTATTTTTGAGTAGTTCTGGTTGCTGGCATTCCACCCTTATCTGTGAAAGAATGCTTGTTGGCATTAGGTTCCATCAATTCACTTGTGATTTCTAAATTAATTCTGAAGGAAACCACAACTTACTTGAAGATCCCATTGAGTGTCTGTGGGCCTGATTTTTTTTTTCTCTCTTCACAGACAAAGCACTTCCACTAGTCATGGAAAAAAGGTCTAAATCCGTGTCTTCTCTGCTTACAAGTCTTGCCTTGGAGCAATGGGAGAGAATGTATACAATCATGAAACAAAATATGGCATTTTCTGAATGCAGCTCACATTACCCCAAATAAACAAACAGGCTCTGTCAAACAACCTTCCTCAAAATGATACCACAATCCTTTATTGCTGCCCAGGCAGAACAAATGTACTATGTCAAAGCATTTTTTTGCAAATAAGAGCCGATTTTAAAATTGAGGTTTGCTATTTGACTCTGTACAACAAAGAAAACATTTTAGTACAGTAAATTTGATGAAAATCAATCTTAAAGGCAACTGATGAAACTTTAAACAGCTTAATATTACTTATTTACCAAGTATATTATTTGATTCTTAATTGAATCTTAGAAATGTCATATGGGGTTATTTTTTGCAATATTTATATTTTACCAGATATAAGTATTAGTCTTCTCAAGAAAATTCCCTGAAATGACCTTCATCCCATATCTGCATACTACATAGTCACAAAATATCTTTACCTTCTCATTACAACCATTATTAATACAAAAGCATTATATATCAAGGCTAAGTTAGGGGTAATAGTAAATATATAGAAATTTCAAGATATATTATTTTAAGGACAAAAAGGATAATTTATTTAATCTAAAATTACCATCTGAACCTTTATAACTACCTTAGACTGAGCCCAAGAGTTGCAAGAATTGATTCTTGCTTATAGAAGATTGTTTTATGTAATGCCTGGTATCATTAAGTACGGATTTATCATATGAACTGTGTGAAAATGCCATGATGGAAAGCAAAGCAGCCTCAAAGTAGCTCAGTTTTAAGCCAAACCACAGGATGCTTGAAATCCTGTGAGAAACCATTGTATTTAACATTTGATGTGAGAACAATTTAAGTAGAGCAAAACATAGCTATTACTGTGGTTAAAAAACTATACTCATATTATGATCTAAAAAACCTCATGAAACCAGAATCGAAAGATTATCCTCTTTCAAATTCACATTCTTGCCCTTCTCCTTTACATGCACCTTCCCACTTTCTTGCACGCATGAGTTTCTCGTTGTTAAGTAAGCATGTGTGTTATTACTGAACTTCGAATTGAAACCATTTTATAACATCAGTCACTTTTGCATGTACCTGGCCAAACGATATGCTTGAATTGACAAAAACCCTCAGCAGAAAATTGTTTAGAAAGAGATAAGTAACAAATGGCTTCCAAATCCCACCTGCAATTAATATCAAAACTGTTACACATTGTTTCTGAATTTTGTTTCAGTTAGTACACAAGAGTGTGTATCTAATACTCCCATCAGAGTAGCCCCATCAACACTACGACTTAAAAAGAGCCTGTCAAGAATGAGGAGGAAATACTAAAGTAATACCACAGTTTTGGTGAGAACCAGTTATAAAACAAAGAGAAACATGTTAACCATCTAGGGGACCCTACTGCTGGCTAAAGAAGCTTTAACTGTAAGCCCCAAGATTTTAAAATTGGGTTTTATTTGCTTCAATTCAATGACATAATTCACTACGCCTATCTAGAAAGTATAAGTCCTACTCCTCCAGATGAGATAATACCTATGTGTCAAGAAAATATCTGTGAACACATGCCTTCCAAAGACCTCATTATCATCTAAGCCATTAACATCCAAAAGACTTTCTTCCAAAATAGAAAACAATTAATGTCAATTACTAATTAGGCCATATTGTAAAAGGGAATAAAATTTAGGAGTGAAATTTAACAGGGATACACAATTTCACAATGGTGCTGCCCAGCAGCTTAAACATAAATCTAGAAATTTCATAAAGGGGCCAACTATAGGTCCATTGACTGGTGTATCAGACACAGCCACATATGAACTAATATTCAAACTCTATTTCTGAAAACATTAACTTTCAAATTGAACATAATTTTTCCTCTTACTGTTAACACATAAAGAAATCATAAAGAAAATACATCTTTTCTTCTATATTACGTGAAATGGAGATACTTAAAAACTGATATACTCAATAACTGACCATGCTTTTATAACTTTTTCTATAAAAATGTATGTTTAAGCTAAAACTCTGTAGTATTAAACATTTGTGCCGTTATAACACAGTAAACAGTTTTTAGTTCATGTTAGATAATAATTTTCTTATGGATATGGTCTCACTAAGGGGAAAAAAAATCACACCCCAGGCATAGTGTTCCACAGTAGAGAGGGATCTCAAAGGTTTGGAATTTTTTCCTGCGGAATGAGAGATTCAAGCCCCACATCAGATGCCCCAACCTTATATCCCTACAGGAGACATGAACCCCCAAAACACCTGACTTTGAAAACTAACAGAGAGTATGTCTAGGAAAACTATAGAACTTTAGGGAAAGGAAAACTGATCTTAAAGGGCTTGTGTGCAGACTTACTCTACTTGGAAATTGGTGGACAAACACTGGATTGAAAATGGCAAAGATGACAGGGGAAGGAGGCTCTCTTAGTAATCTTGGAGTGCCTGCTAAAGAGTCAGGAGGCAGCTGGGCTTCTTCCTGGGGGATGAGATGCTGGTGGCAGCAATTTTTGGTAGTTTGTTCTGCCCAGCTGATCCCAGGTCTGGCAGGAGCCTTTCTGGAATCTTCTCTCCAGCCTGCTAATGCCAAGCACTGCCCCCTCTGAGTTCCCCACACAACCCTGCAACTCAGCTAGACCTCACTGCCAACAGACAATAACCCTGTCCACCAGGGCACCTGCAGCAGTGGTGGCCAGGCCTCATGACCAGCTAGCTGGGACAGGGAACACCTCCACCACCCATGAGTGAGACAACAGCAATTTGGCTCAACCACAACAGATGGGTGCAGGTGGCCCACACAGGCTACACCCCTGGAGCTCCTTGCTTTGGTGTCAAGGGAAGACTGTACTTCTCGGCTCCACAGGACATAACCTACATGATGTCACTCCTTTCAAGACTGAGAGACATAACTGAACTACCTAATACACAGAAACAGAGAGTTAAGTAAAATGAGTTAACAGAAGATTATGTTCCAAATGAAAGAACAAGACAAAACCTCAGTAAAAAAAAAGTGAAAAGGAGATAAGCAATCTATCTGACAAAGAGTTCAAAGTAATGTTTACAAAGATGCCTGCTGACCTTGGGAGAATAATGAAAGAACATAGTGATAACTTCAAAAAAAAGATAGAAAATATACGAAAATACCTATCAGAGGTAAAGAGTATATTAACATAAATGAAAAATACAGTAAAGGGAGTAAGTAGGTGCTTAGATGATAAAGAATAGATCAGTGACCTGGAAAACAAGGTAGTGGAAATCACCCAAAATGAACAGCAAAAAGGAAAAAAAGATTTTAAAAAAGGATAGTTTAAAGGCTAGGACAACATCAAGCATACTAACGTCCACATTGTAGGGAGAAGAAAAGAGAAAGAGAAAGGGTCAGAAACTTATTTGAAGAAATAATAGCTGAAAACTTCTTAAACCTAAAGAAGGAAACAGACAACCAAATTCAAGAAGCAGAGCCCCAAACTAGATGAAATCAAAGATATGCACATCAAGACCCATTACAATTAAAATATCAATTTAAAAATAAAGAGAATCTTAAAAGGAGCAAGAGTAAAGCAATTAGTTATGTATAAGGGAATCTCCATAAGATTATCAGCTGATTTTTCAGCAAGAACTTTGCAGCCAGAAGGGAGTGGCATAATATATTCAAAATGCTGAAAGGAAAACCTACAGCCAAGAAGAATACACTACCCAGCATGATTATCAATCAAAATTGAAGGGGCAATATGGAATTTCCCAGATAAGCAAAAACTAAAGTAATTCATCACTACTAAACTGTCTTTACAAGAAATAGTAAAGGGACTTCTCTAAACAGGAAACAAAAGGCCACAACTAGGAATAAGAATATGTGTGAAAGAAAAAAAATCTTACTGGTAAAGGCAAACATACAGAAAAGATAGTGGATCAATCACTATATAAAGCTACTATGAGGGTTAAAATATAAAAATAATAATATAATCAACATAATCTACAATAATTAAGGGATACACTGAACAAAAAATGTAAAATGTGATGTGTAAAAGACAAAATGTGTGTGTGTGGGGGCAGTAAAATGTAGTGTTTTAGAATGAGTTTGAACTTAAATGACTACAAACATAAAATAATCTGCTATATATATAGATTGTTATATATGAACTTTACAGTACCCACAAACCAACCAGCCATGATAAATACATAAAAAATAAAGAGAAAGGAACCCAAACATAACACTAGAGAAAGTCATCAAATCAAAAGGGAAGAGAGCAAGAGAATTAAGGACCAGAGAAGACCTAAAAAAACAGTCAGAAAACATAATCACTTTAAATGTAAATGGACTATATGCTCCAATCAAAACACATAGGATGGCTGAAAGGACAGCAAAACAAGACTCATTTACATACTGCCTACCAGAGACTCCCTCATTTCAGATCTAAAGATACACACAGACTGAAAGTGAAAGGATAGTAAAAGATGTTTCACGCAAATGGAAACAAAATGAAAGCTGGAGTAGCAATGCTTACATCAGACAAAAAGATGTTGAAACAAATGCTGTAACAAGAGACAAAATGATCCAACAAGAATATATAACTTTAATAAATATTTATGCATGCACCCAACATAGGAGCACCTAAATTCATAAAGCAAATATTAGCAGATACAAAGAGACAAAGTGGCAGTAATATAATAATAGTAGGGTACTTTTAACACCTAATTTACATCAATGGATAGATTATCCAGACAGAAAATTAATAATGAAACAGAGGTCAAACAACACATTAGATGAGATGGATTCAACAGATATATACTGAATATTCCATCCCAAAGCAGCAGAATACACATTTTTCTCAAGTTCACATGGAACATTCTCCAGAATAGATAACATGTTAGGACATAGAACAAAGTTCAATACACTTAAGGATACTGAAATCACATTAACCATTTTTTCTGACCACAATGGTATGAAGCTAGAAATCAATTATAATAAGAAAACTGGAAAAAA